ACAACAACAACATGTCAGAAAGTTCCATCAGGTTTTCTGGCTCCAGGAAATGTCTTCATCTTGTCTTTTGATCACTTTTTTGGGGTGTTATCTTGCTTTGGTTTTGTGTAGGGTGTGAGGTCGCCTGCTTCTTCCTGTCATTACTGTGGTAAAGTTTTTCCTGCTGGGGGAACTAGCAGGACTTTGGTTTCATGATTTTGGCTCCAAAGCTCATTGTTCCAGAAGATGGAGGGGCAGCTGCCTGAATTTCTCTCTGATCTCTAGACTAAAAGGGAGACTTGCTTCAGTTGGAGAGCTCAAGATACTAGTAGGGAAGGGGAAGACAACTTAGTGGGCCTACAGGTTTTCCTCTCTGGCCCTGTAGCAAAATTATCGGGGACTAGGGGGCCAGCCGCTTCTATTCCTTTCTCTTTGGTCCTACAATGAAGTTCTCTTATGTGGATGGCTTGTTTTTTTCTGGTTGCAGCCCTCTCTCCTGAACTCTATTGTCTTCCTTGTTCTGTGGAGGTGCACCAGATTCCCGAACTATCTTCATCACTCTATGCCTCTGACTTTCTACTCTAGGACTATATTACTGTAGCTATTGATTGCTGGAGTGTTCTAGTTAATGTGCACAGCTGGCAAAGCAGGATGATGTCTCAGGCAAAAGCAATGTCTTTTTTAGGCAGGATCCTGAATGTTGGTGATACTTCCTCCCCAGCCCCCTTGGTCTGATGGCCTGCAGCTCCATGGTCTGGAAAGGTCCTCCCCACCTCTCCTGGCTCTGCGAGGCTGAGGGTGCCAGAGGGCTTGCTGAGAATATAGTACCAGTTTTCAACTGTGGGTGTGGTCGGTGGATCAGAGCCCTTCCAGGCAGGACAGAAGGCTTCTGGACCTCTGTGGGTCTGAAAAGATCATCCTCACCTCTCCTGGCTGGCTGTGGGGCTTAGTGTGCCTGAGGGTTCACTGGGAGTCCAATCCTAATATAACTTTTAAAAAGAGTTTTCAATCTGTTTAAAGTGCTGGACGTATGGTTGTTACTATTATTAAGTTCTTTTGAGTCAATTTTGACTCATAGCAACCCTATAAACAATAGGGCTGAACCTTGTCCTATCCTGTCCTTACCTCAAAATCTCATGGCCTACTTAAGCCCATTGCTGCAATCACTGTGTCAGTTTGCCTTGTTAAAGATCTTCCTCTCCTTTGCTATCCTTCTTCCTTTCCAAGCATGATATCCTTATCCAAGAAATAGCCTCTCCTAGCGATATGTCCAAGGTCTGCAAGATGAAGCTTCACTATCCTTGCTTCCAGGGAGTAATCTGGCTTCACCTTCTACAAGAAATATCTGTTTGGGGTCTTTTATAGTCCTTGGGTTATTCAGTACTCTCTTCCAACACCACAACTTAAAGGCATCAGTTTTTCTTTTGTCATTCTTAATTGATTTTCCAGCTCTCAGATGCATAGCAAGGGATTGAAAAGACCATCACCTGTGTAAGGTGCACCTTAGTACTCAGACTAACATCATTGCTCCTCAGTAATTTGGAAAGATCCTTGACTGCAGACTTTCCCAGTGTAATACATCTCCTGATCTCCTGACTCCTGGGCCTATGATTATTGTTGTTATGTGCTATCAATTCCCCTGGGGATATGATATGTTCTATGTTTTGGGATTGGATGGATGAATGAATGAAGGAGATGGTATGAAAAATTATGTGAAGAGATACACTTTGAGGACTAAGGGGTGCTGGATCCCAACCATAGTACTTACAGTCACCTCATATATGTAAAATCTGGACAAGGAAGATTTAATAATTTTGAATTATGATATTGCCCAGGAGAACAAACAAATCTGCCTGGAAGAATACAGCTGTAATGTCCCTTAGAATCAAGGATGGCAAGATTTCATCTCATTTACTTTGTTGTTTTGTTTTTTGACATCATGTCAGAACTGACTCATTGCTGACCCTGTAGAAAGTTTTCAGAGGCAACAAATCACACAGGAAGAGATTGCCCATCTTTCTCTCACAGAGCATCTAGTAGATTTAAACTGTGTGCTTTGGGGATTGCAGTGCAGCTTCTTACCAGTAGGCCACCAGAGCTCCCTAAATACTTTGAACATGTTATTAGGATTGCATTAGTAAATTATGCAGTTAGGGACCTCTGTAGAGTGCTAAAGAGCAATAATGCCCATCTAGAGACTAATGTATGCCTGAATCCAAGCCATGGCCTTCACATTTACTTGCTTTGCATCAGACAGCTGGACAGTGTCTAAGAATGACAGAAAAAGAATTGCTATCTTTCAGTTGTTGTGCTGCAGAAAAGTATTGAACATATCATGGATTGCCAAGATAATAAACAGTTCTGTCTTGGAAACCAGGTTGCTCCTTGAAGGCATGAATTTTGAAACGCCATCTGACATACTTTGGGCATGTTGCAAGGAGCGATCAGTTCTTGCAGAAGGACATCATGTTTGGAAGGGTTGAGGGACAGCAGATGACTCCAGATGAGATGGATTGACATAACTGAGATAATGGGGATAGGTGTGTTGGAGATGGAGAGAGTGGCTGAAGATAGGGCAGAATGTAAAGCTGTTAGACATAGGGTCATTGTGAGTCACAGTAGACTTGATGACACATAACAAGTCCCTGGAGAAAGACATCATGCCTTGTGGAGAGTCAGCTAAAAAGAGGAAGATCTTCAATGAGCTGGATTGTCATAGTGTCTATAGCAGTGGACTCAGACATGGCAGTGATTGTGAAATGATGCAGGGTCAGATGGAATTCATTATTTTGTACCTAGGGTTACTATGGGTTTATTTGTGTCAGAACCAAATGGATGCCACTAACAGCAACAATAATATAGTACAATCATTTTTTAGTTCTCCTTGTTTTCGGCTACCAACTGTTTTTCATTGTTGGTTAATTTTAGGAGCCAATGATAGCTAGCACTGACTTTAGAAACAATCTGCTGCTCTAAGACTATAAAAATGTGGGCAAAGACACTGTTTAACCAATCTATTTATAGTCTTAAATTCACTTTTTTCCTTGCTATTCCTTGCCTCCCCCAAAAAAAGAAAATAAAAGCTCCTCATTGTATTTAGAGTTTTTCTTTTTTGGGTTCTTCTGTTATTCATATTAAGTAGCATTGAGCATATTCGCTATAATAGTGAAGTTTGGTACTGAATTTGACCTATAAAACTAGTAAATGATAAAATAGTAATGATTTTTTAATGTTTTAATTTCTTTATTTTATCTGTCTCTTTCAGAATTCTCCACTTTACCAGTACTTGCAGGATCTAGGACATACAGATTTTGAAATATGTTCTTCAGTGTCACCAAAAATAGAAAAATGTACCACTGCAGAGGTTCAACCAAGGACTGCTATAAGAGCCTTGTCAAAAGTAAGGAAATATACAAATTCTTTGTGGTTTAACCTTTTACATGTCAAATTCCTAATTTTTAAAACAGACACACAAAGACAAAAACCTTGTGAGTACCTCCAATTATTTATCTACCTCTGTCTATTAACTATTTTAATAAATATAAACTCTCTACTATTTTGAACTATTTTGTGACTAATTTATATATAGGCAAGAAAGAAATAAAAGATTGGGATTTGAAACATACTATTTGCTTAAATAATCTTAAATAATCTTAAATTATCTGATGAGAACCAGAAAAAGAAACTAAAACCTTAATGAGAACACAACTAATAGGACTTTTATGTTCGCTGAATTTTTTTTTAATTTAAATTGTTTGGGGTTTGTTGTTGTTTTTTTTAAATTGTTTTAAAAAGAAATTATAAAAGGTAGATCACTGTCTTAAACACAATTTCCAGGGCATTTTATGGAGAGGATATATATACCTCAATTTCTGATGACTTTTCTATCTGTAATACTATATGTTTGGGGTTTTTTTTTAATTATTTTGTGTGTGTACTGTCAAATCATATCTGACTGGTACAGGAGGAGATTGTCCCTCCTTCTCCAGAAGAACATCTGGTGGATTCGAACTGCGTAGCTCTGGGATT